TCCAAAGCTTCATTCTTGTCCTTGAATAGATTTGAGCTTCCTAGGATGCTATCATTACCCTCTTCTTGAAGAAAATTCGTCCTCGAATTTTGACCTTGCAAGAAAAAAAGTCACGCACTAGTAAATGACATCCACTAATCTGAAAAAATGGTAGGAATAAAACAAGATAGTGACCATGTGTTCACTTAATCCAATTAAGCCTAATAGGTGTAAATACTCCTTTATAAAGCATATGGACATCATCATCCCAATAAAATTTATGCCTACTTAGAGTTGTCCAATAAAAACCTCTCTTAGATGCACTATGTAATGAAATTTGCAATGCGATCTTGTCAATAAGGTAGTCCAAACATGTGCATGCCAAAGAAATTACAAAATATTGGTCATGCATCCATTTAACACAAGTATCTCTGCCACATGTATCAAATAAGACACTCTTATGATATAGCCAAGTATCAATTATAAATCCCATGGATTCTTCTACATGTAAGTTATTCAAAGAAGCACATAAATTCTCAGAAAGGTCAGAAGAACCCATAAATTCCAAAATATAAATTTCAATACATTCAAGCTCATGATTATAACTTTCCCCAATAATATTCGCAACATCAATGGATTCTACATAATTGCTCAAACTGTCACAGAAAGAGTCATAGATAGGTTCATGAAAGAGTATTTGATCACTAACGTCACAATAATCATGCATATCCTCTTTAATAGTAGCAAACACTTTTACAGGCTCACAATCAACATGCCTAGAGGAATGACTTCCCATCAAACAACAAAACTCACATTCTAGCAATTTATCACATGAAAACTCATTAGACACTTGAATAAGAGAAGAAAGAACATTTAACTCATTAGCAAGCCTCTTCTCATAAATTTCATGCCTCTTTCCACCAAGTTGGAATGCATAATCATCTATGTCATACTCAATTTCAAAAGGAAGCAAATTACTCTTGCACTTTAACTTAGATATTACAGTTAATGACTTGATATGCATCAAAATATCATCATCCACAAAAATTATAAAGTCACCAACATAAGAAATAAGAGTATAGTTCATTACCTCCAAAAATACCTTAGGTGTTCTAGGAAGGCCAAGAATGTGAATGAACCAATTATACATATCATACTTGGACTTATTTACTAATGGAACAACATCACCTTGTATTCTTTTATGCAATGATTCCAGCTTAGCAATGGCTTTAGGAAACTCCATGTCATAAACCTGTAAATAAGAATTAAAATAGTCAAAAGGTTCAATAACAAAGAATTTAACCAAGCTTTTATCTTCCACCATCCAACAAGAATTAATTTCGCCTAATTCATGTTGGAATCCAATTGGATCCTTTACCACCATTTCTCGCGCCTCACCTCTCCTTTCAAAAGGTCTTTCAACACGTGGCTGCACAAAATCACAAGAACTAAAACAAGAATGAGTTAATGGGTTAGGAAGTAAAGAAATTTTATTCTTGCTTACACTCTCTTTGGCTTTTATCACAAAACTAACTTTTCCCTCACCCTTAGCCTCTTTTCTCTCACTAAAGTTTTTTTCTTCTTCTTTACTCAAACCCTCTTGTTTTTCTCTCTCTACCTCAAAGACTTTTCTTATCTCATTGCCTTCTCTCTTTTCTTTTCCCTCAAGCTCACTCTTTTTCTCAATTGACATCCCATTCTCTTCACTCAATACAACCTCTCCTTTTTCCTCTCTTGGGATGTCAACATGCACTCCCTTACTCCTCTCATTCTTTTCTCTCTCATATTTTTCCATATTCTCTTTAACAGTCTTTTCATCTTCATAAATTTGTGAGGGAGTCAAAGGTCCAAGAATAAGTTTCTTCCCGTTAACCTCAAAAGAGTATCTATTTTTTTCCATGTTATATGAAGCTCTTCTATAGGTATACCATGGCTTTCCCAACAAGATATGATAATTATTCATGGGAATCACATCACACCAGATCGCATCCTCATACCTTCCAATAGAGAATAGTAATAACACTCTTTTATCTACCTTTACTCCTCTCAACATGTAGGGTTCAATATGCTCAACACAAGGCAAGTTCAATTTTTCAACCATATAAGTGCTAATTGAGTTATAGCCAAACTCTTTGTCAATTCTAAGGGCACAAATCGCAGACATCACTTTAGCTCTTGTTTGAAAAATAATTTTACCATTGTCTTCCTTCCATTCGGTATACTGTAAGTTCGACTTTTCAAGTTGTTGAGTCATAGCTCGCCTCCTTTCACTATAACTACCTGTTTGAAACATCTTGAACAAAGATTAGAAGAATTATGTATCTCTCAAATTTTGGCTTTTTCCTCTAATGTTCTCGCCTCTCTTGCCTTTTTCCACTCAAAGCAGCTCTTGGTCGTTAAACTTTAGATTTATTAATAAACCTTACTAGTCACAACCCTTAGTGATAAGAATGTGGAGTTAGAAAAAGAAAAGGAAAGTGAAGGACCAAACCTTGGAAGAATAGGAATTGGTTATGTAGAAAAAATAAGGAAAGAATTTAGGAAACCCAAAACCCACAAGAATAAGGAAAGAAGTTACCTTAATCTTCAAGAACTAGGATCCCCTCTTCTTGTTTCCTTTCTTGACTTGGAAACCAAATAACACTTGAATTCTACAAATAATAATGAGCCATAATGCTTTTCTTTTGGCTGATTTTCGTTTTTTTTTTTTTTGGTGTTTTTTTTCCCGGTTTTGTTTTGCTCAAGAACCTCCCAAGATTATCAAGATTGAAATCTTGATTAGCCTATGCTCTGATACCACTTGATAACAACACGATAGGGGTCCAAGAATTACTAAAGAAAATCAAGAAACGTGCGGAAGCTAAAAGAAAATAAAGAAACAAAAAAATAACAGAAAATTAAAGATAGATTGAATTCAAGAAAGAGTTTCTTGAATTCAAGAAGTCTATTCTTGAAGTTGAATCCTAACAACAACAATTAGCTAACAAAGAACTAATCGCCTTTGGTAGAGAATTAAAAACAAGAGATAGATTGTGAAACCCGACCCTTTAGAATAACAAGAACAACAATAAGCCTAAACTTATCACCTTTCTTGAATACCTAGAAGTGATCTAAGATTTCGAAAGAGTTTAATCTTACCACCTTAAGTTGAGTCTTGAAGGTTGAAGAATAAATCCAAGAGTAGCCACACACAAGAGTGCAAGAAAAATCTCACAATTTTTATTGATATTGTCTATAATAATCTAAAATCTAAAAACAAAGAAGACACCCCTTTATATAGAGAGGGGGTCACGAAATTCCTACCTAAAAACAAGGAAATAAAGTCCTAAACTACTTTGGACAACAAGTCCAAATACCTTAGGAAAAGGAAAAACACTAGGAAACAAAAACCAAGTCAATCTTGGAAAGTAACTCCAACAATCTTAGGAAAAGGAAAACATAACCTTAACTACCTAGGAAAGCAATAAATCTAGTACCAAAATATATGGAAATAAGTTAAAACCAATCTTGGATAGAATCTTGAAAGTCCCAAACCAATCATGAATAGGATCTTGGAAATCTTGAAGGTAACTTGCAAGCAACTTGGCACCAACTTGTACCCAACTTCTATCACGCCTATTGAACCTTTCTTGGGCAGCAAGTAAGTCCTTTTTATGTTATAAAAACGTGGCTTCATGTAGGACTTATTGGGATGCAAGTTTGGACACATTTTTAGGTTCCAAATAGGTCCAATAGTGGCCTGATTTGGACCTTCTTCAGAGGATGTCTTTTGGGATCTAATCCACCTTTTCTTGGACATGAATTTGGACCATAAAATAATTATAATACCTAGACAACTCATATCCTTTTATCCTTGAGCTCTCCATCCCAATTAACAACTTCTTTATTTGCACTTGAAGTCTAATGACCTTGTTTTGCAACTCTTTAGCTTGACATCTTGTTAAAGGCCCTCTTTGAGATTCCAAAGCTTCATTCTTGTCCTTCAATAGATTTGAGCTTCCTAGGATGCTATCACGGACTCCCTCAGTGGCGTATCTTCTATGAAGTGCTTGATTAAAGTTCTCAAAGGAAGACATTGACTTAGCAACTGAGAAGACTACATACAGGATAGAGGAGTTCTTTTTTTGGGGAGAGAGAGAGAGAGTTCTTAGTATAACTAGTCTGCATTAACTATTCTGTTGATGACTAGAAGGGTGCTTTTGGAAGAGTCCGGGTATTTGCAGCGTCCTTTTGGGTGCCTCTAATAGTTATTTGTCGTGTGACTTAAGATGATGCAGCGCAAGTTGTTGACATCATAGGTTAGCTTGAACTTTAAATAGATGCACAAGTACTGTTGGTTCTTGTTAACCAAAAAGTTTTCAGTTATCATAAACAACAGGGTGGAAGAGAAGGCAAACAACACGAAGAAGAAGAGAGAGAAATGGGAAAAAATTGGCGGTGAAAAAAGTTGGAGAATCAATTGCATTGGGTTTGTTGTTGTTGTTGTCAAATCCTTGAGACCATGACAAGTGATACAGTGCAATTGAAACTACACAATTTTGGAAAAGTCTTATTCATTAATAATTTGCTTCAACTTAGGGTAAATTGTACTTCCATCTTAAAAAAAAAAATTACTTGTACTTAATGAATTGATAAAACCGGGTTAGCAGGCTAACTTCGGGCCACATTTGAAGGGACCTTATAATTATAGATAACTAACAAAAAAACCTCATGAAAAAATATACCCAAAAAAAGTATTAACCAGACTGGTGAAGAATACTTTTACACCATTATGCTTGCTCCTGAGTGTGATTATAAAATTTTAGAAATCTAATTGATGTATCTTCATCATATTTCGGATTTTGCCTGTGCTTTTTAATTACTGATTCACTGGTTCACAATTTATGTGAAGTGATGCGAGGGTATTGATAAAAGTTGAAGGGGCAGTACTTTGACTAGAATTTTTGTCTTTTTGGATCCTAGGATGTATACTAACTAAACATGGTTTTGCATGACTAAACTTCTTAAAAAACTTTTGGCAGGTATATTCACTGGACTGGACTCCAGAAAAAAATCGTATTGTGAGTGCATCCCAAGATGGCAGATTAATAGTATGGAATGCTCTGACCAGCCAGAAAACCCATGCAATTAAGCTTCCATGTGCTTGGGTCATGACCTGCGCCTTCTCTCCCATTGGGCAATCTGTTGCCTGTGGCGGACTTGATAGTGTCTGCTCTATCTTCAATTTGAATTCACCTACTGACAAGGAGGGGAACCTTCCGTTATCAAGAATGCTTAGTGGGCACAAGGGGTACGTGTCGGCATGTCAGTATGTTCCAGATGAGGATGGTCACGTGATAACTGGTTCTGGTGATCAAACATGTATTCTGTGGGATATAACCACTGGCCTAAGAACTTCTGTCTTTGGTGGTGATTTTCAGTCTGGGCACAGTGCTGATGTATTAAGGTAAGTTGGTGACCTATAGAGTGTTATGCAATAATAATTATGTTTTCTTGAAGTTTGTCAACATCATTTTTCATTTCTTTTCATTCGATCAGCGTCTCAATCAATGCATCAAATCCAAAGCTGTTTGTGTCTGGATCCTGTGATACAACTGCCCGTCTGTGGGACACCCGTGTTGCTAGTCGAGCACAGCGAACATTCTATGGTCATGAGGGAGATGTTAATACTGTAAAGTTCTTCCCTGATGGTAATAGATTTGGGACTGGTTCAAATGATGGAACTTGCCGATTGTTTGACATTAGAACTGGACACCAGCTGCAAGTGTACTACCAACCGCATGGTGATGGCGATATCCCACATGTCACTTCCATTGCATTTTCTATCTCTGGTCGGCTTCTGTTTGCTGGGTACTCGAATGGTGACTGTTACATGTGGGACACACTATTAGCAAAGGTAAAGCAGAGTTGCATTTTGTTTTCACTGCTTATGAGTTGGGGTTAAAGCTCAGTCATGACTGTACGCTTACATTAGGTTCAAAATTTTCCAGGAGTTATTTAAATCCGTCTGGAGGTGTGTATGTTAGTAGCAACTAGAGAGAACCTTAAGTATTTAGAGACTCCCAAGTTATTGACTATAGCCTATAGGAATGAAATGGTACGATGGAGCTAAATGAATAGTGAGGATGATATAACATACCTCAACTAGCTTGGGGGTGAGGTACAGTAGTTTCTTTGTTGCTTATGCATTGTTCGTCTGAAATATTCATCTACCATCATCACAATTTCAATTCCAGTTGGGATACCAAGTCTGGTATTTAAGTGAAGGGTAGAGAGGCGGGTCTATAATCCACCAATCTTTGAAGCTGGAGTCAGCATATCTCTCGGTTGTTAAAAAGAATATATTCTACCGTTGGTGAACTTATTGTTGGAAGAGATTATGAGATGATTCTTGTTCTAAGTTCCCATTGGTTTTTAAACAATATTCAACTAATTGTTGTGTTCTGCTGAGAGCTATGACTGTACTTGCTGTAGTCTGATGGTTTGTGTATGTTTATGTTGCTATAATCTTAGTTCTTCCTTAATTCACATCAACCTTATGTTTGCATTTGCTGTTTCAAATACTAGATGGTTTTAAATTTGGGATCACTTCAAAACTCTCATGAAGGTCGGATTAGTTGTCTTGGGTTGTCAGCTGATGGAAGTGCCTTATGTACAGGAAGTTGGGATACAAACCTGAAGGTAAGTTTTTGATGTTTTCTTACAAGGATGAGTGTTAATTATGCAACCAAAAAGGTTATCAAGTATTATTTTTTGTGATAATAAGTTTCATTCATTGCCATGTTGATCATTTCCCATGTATTCTTCTGCTCTCTGCGATCTTAGACCTGTGTGAGTGAAAAGATATGTTAATCTTTCATTTTCCGCTGGCAGATTTGGGCATTCGGAGGTCACAGAACAGTGATCTGAGTGATGAAACGCGCTACCTCTTTCCCTTTTCTGTCTCATTTTCAGGGACTGCCCGGCATATGGTCGTGTTTTCTTGGGATGGTCTTCACTTGTAGATCTCTTTGTATTTCAGCTAATGTTGTGGTTAGAAAATTGTAAATTTTACTCCGAGGAGCATGCTCTCATAAAACAACTTGAGTACAATCACAAGGCAGATTTTTTACTTCTTCATAGTTAGGTCCGTACCTTTGGGAATACCTTTACTTGGTGATCTTCCTTATTTAACTTCAATATATAGATACTCAAATCTAAGCTTTCAAAAGGATTTTATGTGTAAATATTTTTAGCTATCAGTGAAAAAATTTTTAGCTATCAGTGAATTATAACATCAGCAGATTTTCTCTCTTATTTTCAAGTTATTAATTTCTTTTATTATAGACAGTAATCTGCATAAAAGTTAAAGTCCTTTTCAAAATAGTCCTTGCTTTTCGTTACCGGTTTTCTAGAGTGTGTATTGATTATCACATCCATTAATCTGATGAATATTCACACAACTTTAGTAATAAGGCCTTTAACCCCTCCCTACACTAAAAACAATAAGGTAGTAAGTTTAAACATTGTGCCAACTGGAACCCAATTCAGCGTAATTTGAGGATATTAATTTTACCACAAAGCAAAGAGTGAATATCAAAATTTAGGAGTACAAATGTGCTGAATGCCAAGTTTCAGGCTTGGGAAAACTGCTTTAGAAATCACTTTAAATATATACGAGGCAAAAAATATACCGGTTAGAGTTGGATAAACTACAATAATCAACTCCGACTAGTCATATAAATGAATGAATTCCAATAACTCGTCAAAGAGTATCTCGCAGAGCCAATTGACTTTGTCAAATCCCACCACAGTATCACCTTAACAACTAGTATCTCTCGGTCGATGTAAAGAAACCTAGCCGCTTGCAATAACTTCATGAATTGCATCACTTACAGATATATCTTCTGACCTAACAGCCAGCTTCATTGCAACCTCCTTTGCCCCATCCAATCCAAATGATAACCGAACAAGTACCTTTACGCTGCCAATGTATACACCAGATAATAAACATGTGTGCGATCTTGAGTTGCTTGGGACTACCTCAGTGCCCTGCAGAAACATCAGAAACTATTTCAGCTTCCAAAGAGAGAAAAATTATGCAGAATTGCCTGCAAATATTTGACTAAAATTACGTAAGTTACAGACGGTATTCAACAAAACAGTATCTCCTGCTCTTAAAAAGGAGTTTTAACAAAGAGTGTTGAATTTGATAAACCTCGCAAGGTTGCATGCCAAGAAGGTTGATGACTGCATTTACTGCTTCAGTCAGGCTTTCCCTTGGGCCAAGACCATATTCATCTACGCGTTCACAATCTGGTCCCAAGCTCTCCCATGCATTCCTAAAATTGGAGACTCCCAATTTCAGCATGTAATCTGCAGCGACAACCTCCAGGTCTTCTAGTTGGTATTCATCTTCAACACCATCATCTTCAGCCTCACCAGTGGTTGGATCAACCTGGTGGATCGTCAAATTAATTAACATTACACCTTTGCATATAACCAAGATTACGAATAAATATGAGCAGTATACAATCCAACATTTCATTTTAAATCAAAACTAAGACAATCTTGGGAAGCAGTAATATGCAGAGGAGATAAAATGCTAAATCGGCAAGGTTTCGAGGATACATGAAAAACATTGAAACCATGTCCCATGTCTAATAAAGGTCTCAACAAATAACCACAGCTCAAAGGATATCCAAAATAATGCCAGATATGTTATATACAGATAATAAAGACACTATGTACTTTATGTACAAGTATCATAACCCTGAAAAGTAAATCATTAGTTGTCTCCTAAGTTATACATAGATTCCATAACAAAATTTTTGAAGGTAATAGTTCTCATGAGCAGTATACCTCTTTAACAATGAAACTTAGTGTGTTCGAGAATTTCCCAACAGCAGGGACTCCTTCAGGTTTCTCAAAAGCCACAAATGTCTGCCCTGGAGTATCATATGGAAGAGACTTGAGAGGTTTGGATGCTATTTCAGAAAATTCCTCAGCTTCGGACGGATCCACAATAACAGAGACCTGGCGGGGAAAACATTGTTTGGATGAATAAGTGGGCCAAACATCAAAATGCAAGAAACTCTTCAAAGAATCTTAGAATAATAAGCAGATCACTTCAAAATGCAAGAATTTCCTTGCAAAAAATCATTACATTTTCCAACAATTGCCCAGGAATGGTATTGGTGCAGTTGTACCGGAACACTAGATGACTATCAAAAATGTGCTTCACGACATTAACCGCATACTCTGTTTCAGCTTCTGTGAGCTCCACAGGCGCCGATGACTGAAACACAAGACAAAGAAAATTACTCACTGAAACAGCTGAGAAAGACGTTAGAAAATAAACGACAAGAAAAAACAATGAAGAACCTTGAAAAGCTTCCCATAGCTAGCGAATTCTGGGATAGAGGATAGTAATCTTTCATATGAATCAACAATAGAGGTGGGGCCGACAGGTGGAGCACCCAAACCAGTTGGCTTTTTACCCGATGCTTTCTTCTCTGCCAAAGGCTGAGATTTAACTTCCTTGGGAACAGAAAAAATATCAAACGCCTCCTCTGATGGCTCCTGCAGCCGTTTAAGCAAAATAATCAGATAACCAATAATAAAAGAACCAGAGGACAAGAAAATTAAGAGAAGATACACACATAGTTCTTTAAACTTGTCTCCAGATTACTTAGAGGGACACCGAGTGACCCGAATAGGAACTCTTTCACTTCATCATCAGTTTCAACAACTGCACCATCACCTCCAAGGGTATTCAAGTACAGTGTTGCCCTATCGCGAACCTGCCAAAAGATTACCACTCACAAGCTTAAAGGAATAACAATAATAGTAGAAATTTTCTTTTCTTTTACCAGCAATATTAACACATAAGAAACGGGTAGAGCCCAAAATGAAGAAAACCATGATGATGATGATGGTGGTGGAAGCTTTAAAGCTCTACACATGACGTAACATCACATTTCCGACAAGAGCCTTTGCGCATATAATAGTTCAATTTAAATGCAGTTACTTCTTATATTAGATATGAAGCTGCCATACTATGAGAGATAAACAGCATGCTTTGATACCACACTCAAAACCCATACCCCCAGCAACATGGAAAATACACCCAATTACACATTTGAATCAAAAAAAAGAAAAAACAATTTCCAAGGGAAACATTAATGGGATGGGAGGGCCAGGAGGAACTTAATAGGAAGGATAGAGACTTTATACATGTTTAGTTAGGAAAGGACATTGTTTATAATTAAAAGTGAAATACTTTGCAATCTGAATGGCATCTTGAACAAGGAAACAAGAAAAAGATAGCAAATAATTTCTCATATGTGATGCAAGAAGTTTCACAAATCAAAGATATGTTCTCACAACTATCATGAAAAAGAAAAAGGACAAAGGAGAATCATCAATAATATAAACAAAATCATTAAAAAAACTAAAATATGTAAAACATCATGACTAACCTCATCATCACTGTCGAATAGGCAACGTTTCAATAGCACAAATATACGGGGCTGCAGCATATTAGAGCACACGTTTTATCAAGAGTAAAAATGCGGCATTCGTTCATGACACAAAGAAAAACAGAGAGCAAGCCTACCTTCAATGAATCAACCAAGGCACCAAACTTAGCTAAGGTGCTCACTGCACTGGCCCGAACTGTTGCATTCTCAAGTATAACTCTATTGTATATATATCGTATGTACTTACTGGGGTCTGATGTCTTAGGTCCTTCATTTCCAAGAAAATGTAGTATCTATAGATACATAAAAGGAGATAAATAAATAGATTA